TCCCTCCTTCCTTCCCTCCTTCCTTTCTCTTCCTGTTGAAGGACCCGAAGCAGCAGAAGATCTATGACCTGTTCCAGAAGTCTTTCGAGGAAGATGGAAGCGATAAGGAGCTCCTGGAGGCAGTGGAGGCTTTTGATCCAGGAAGTGCTTCAGGAACATCTGGAAGTGGTTCCCAGGACCTGGGAGACACCCTGGACGATGGCCAGCTCACAGACAGTCCACCAAATAAAAGGAGATTGGAATTTTTTGATAACGGGGACAGTTTTACCTCTCCCCTTTGAAGGTCAAAAAAACCTGAAAATCACAGAATTCATTAAAATATGGCATTTTGTTTTGCAAACCTATGCCCTTCCTGTCATCGCCAGTGCGTTTCTGTCTCCAGGTGTCACCCTTTCATTTCCCACATCTCTGTGGGCTTACCTGGCTCTTAGTTCTGACCAAGAAGTAAAGAGATTAGTACTTCACATTCTCTAAACAGTGAAACTACCTTTCCTGTAGGGTCACTGTGAATCTGAAATACCACAATGGTTTTGGTTTTCTAAATAACCAAATGTTCCAAAGTTCCCCGAATCTGGGAGTGACCCTTATGATAGAACATGAGGACTTGCCCTTGGACCTTGGCATTTGACACTTAATCCTGAATCCACTGTTTCTTTGTTGTATTAGCAGATAGGTCCCTGCAAGCGTCCTTCTGAGGCCTCTAACTCAACCTCACTTTCAGTTGCGTTGGAGAAGAACTCCTTTTTTTTCTTTGGTATGTCCCTGCAGTTCTCCCAAACAAATCACACATCACATATTTAGCACACTTCAGATGTTAACCACCATCAGGTTGGCCCCACACTCAGGACTACCCCATGCACAGAGGGAACAAACTCCTGCTTGGCCTGCATCCTCCATGTGGTCTGTTGCTGATTGGACCACTGTAGCCCCATAGAGTTTTAAGTTGGCACATCCCTGTGTACCTGAGAAATGTGACCGGAACCATCTGCCACCTCCTGTGTGAGTCAGTTAAAGATGCTTGGATTTATTCTTAGGAAGTGGATACATCCTTAGGTTTAAAGAATTCCCATACTAATTCCTTTCCCTCTTCTACTTTGCAATTCAGGCCAGACTCCAGGTACCATGTTTCTGGAAGAAAATCGAACCCATATTATCCTATTCCTGTCTATGCTGCCAGTGGTGTTCTTAAAGGATTTTAGAAGTCCCTTCCCATAATGCCTCCCCTCCGCCAGGCCAGTTAGTGGTATCTTGTTTCCCAAGGGCCCCTGCTTTGTTTGTTTTTACTCTAGGGCTGGCATCAGGAAGTCTGCTTTGGGTGGCAGCAGGAGATCCTGCTAGTTTCCATTCAGCTATGCATGCTTGAATTAATGTTGTTAATTGTTGTTATGTGCCATCAATTCTCCTGCAACTCATAGTGACCTTATGTACAACATCCCTAAACCCTGCTCTATCCTATGCCACTCTTATTTTCTTGAATTAATGATAGATAAATCTTTCTTTATAGCTTCCCATGACTCTTTTCTAGATCAGTGGGAGAGCTGAAAGCTGTCTTTCCTTGAGGCGATTTCACCTCATAGCGGACCCTCCAGTGGGTTTCCAAAGCAGTAAATCACCCAGAAGAAGGCTGCCCATCTGTCTCCTGCAGAGCGTCTGGTGAATTTAAACCTCCAGCCTTGGAGCTAGCAGTGAACCCCCTATGGGCTACACCGCCAGCGCTCCTGTGGAAATTATAGGAGGACAGGCTGTCCTCAGCCATCAGCTCTTGCTTCCTTCCCCATCTGTATTATATGCTTTTTGCCAATTGGAACTTTGGTGTTTTTTGGAAACTCTTCTTAGGTGCCATTTAAACTACAAAAGGAGTAGAAAAAAAGTCCAGCCTTCTGTTTTATCCTGTCCTCTTTACACCAAATTAGAGATTATCCGCTTATAAAGTGGTTTGAAAATTCAGAGACCATTGACTGGAGCAGGCTCTAAGCTCTGTGTTCTGTTTTACACGTGTTTCCTGTGGGGGTTCAGTAAAGGAGATCATAACAGAAAGCCTTGAGCAGCCAAACTCATCATCTCCAGGAATTCTTGTGACATCAGCACCTCCTTGATTGTTCAGCATCCCCTGTCCATGTGTTTCTGCCATTCAGCAGATCTTATTGAATACCAGGGACTCCTTGTTTTGTTAGTTTGATTTTTCAGCCCTCAATTTTTTTATTTTTTTTCCTATAATTATATTTTATTAATTTTCATAAACATTTACAGAGATTTTGGGTTTCCATTCATTCATTGTTGCACTATTCTCTCTACCCTCCTCCCAGTTTGTTCTTGTCCAAATGCCACAGTGCTTGTCAAAGCCAGTTCTGATTAATCTTCTTTGTCAGTGTGTCCTTTGCCATTCCCTATCACTCCTCCCTGAGAGAGACTTCACCCTGAGTCATAAGGAAAAGGGGATGGCATATTCTCTTAGCTACTTCCTGCTGAAAAGGGACGCTGTGGGTTTCAGGGTGAAGATCTTCTCTCACTACTCTAAAGGGCCCCTTTGGCAGTAGGAAACACATAGACTATTATGGAGATTGATTTTGGAATTTAGATGCACTCTTATTGATTGTGCTTGGCCGTACATGTTCATATCCTTGAAGATGTATCATGGGGGTGTTGCAACCTAGAAGACACAAATTTGACTAACAAGTTATAAGTACATGAGTCAAAAATTATGGAAAAGTAAAAGAAAAGATTCTTTCATTGTTTTACAAACCCTCCCCCAGGTCCCCTCCACCATGCAGCCCTCGCTCTAGTCTCCTGTGATGACAGAAATACCTAGTTATATATCTCTTTTAAGCAGTTTTCTCCCTCCTCTGTTTCAGTGCAGTATACATTATTGAACCCATCTTACTCAGTCTCTCCCCAACCCCAAGGACAGTCCCATTCTACAACAGTGGCATCATGTAATATTTGTCCTTTTGTGACTGGGATATTTCACTCAGCATAATGTTCTCCAGAGTCAACCGTTTTGAATAATATTGCATGAGTTCCTTGTTTTTTAATGCAGCATAGTATTCCATTGTGTGAATATACCACAGCTTCTCTAGCCATTCGTTTGTTGATGGAGCCCTCAATTTTTTAACCCCTCTGTTGATGATGTAACATTCAGAAGAGTTCACAAAACACGTCTGTAGGGTAACAAAATATTATTTTTTAAAAACATGCAACTGACCCAAGGTTATGAATATAATGTATTCTAGAAACTTTTGTCTATCCTTATTATTTAGGTCTACAGTACACTTGGAGTTGATCTTCATACCTAGGAAGAAGTAGACTATGCTTAATGTCCATATGCGTGAGCAATAATTGTAGCACCATTTACTGAAAAGATGATGGGTCTCTTCATCTGCTGCTCTGCAATTTTGTTGTTGTTGGGTGTTGTTGAGTCGCTTGCGACTCATAGTGACCCTATGTACAACAGCCCTAAACTCTGCTCTGTCCTGTGCCAGTCGCACTGTTTCTGATACACCCATCCTGATTACCCAGTCACTGAATCAGTGCACCTTATAGAGGGCCTTCCCCTCCTGCGCCGCCCCTCCACCCTCCCAAGCTTGATGTCCCTCCTTACAACAGGTCCAAAGTATGTTAGACAAAGCCTCAGAATCCTTGCCTCCAAGGAACCACCTGGTTTAATCCTCTCCAGAATGAATCTGTTTTCTAGCAGTCCATGGTACCCTCAACACTCTTCTCCAGCACCACAGCTCAAAGGCATTACTTTTCCTATCCTCATTAGTCATTGTACAACTCTTTGATGAATAGTAAGTGATTGCAAAGACCATAGCCTGTATCAGATGCACCTTAGTCTCCAGAGAGACACCATTGCTCTTCAGAACTTTGGAAAGGTCCCTAACAGTAGATTTTTCCATCACAATATGTCTTTTAATTTCCTGACTGCTGGTGCCAAGAGTGTTGACTGTGGAGCTAAGCGAACTAAAGCTGTGAACAATTTCAATCTCTTCACCATCCATCCTGATGCTGCCAATTGGTCCACTGGTACCTTTGTTTTATTTCTTATTTAGTTATTATAAATTTGTAGGACTCAACAGCCTTCGCCCTTACTGCAGAAGATCAAAGACTACAACCCTCAATATGGATTACACCCCAACATTGAGAAAACAAAAATCTTCATTACTGGACTAATATGCAGCACCATGACAGATGGAGAAAAGATTGAAGTTATCAATGACTTCATTTTACTTGCATCCACAATCAACACGTTGGTAATGGTGGTGGTAGATGCTGTTGAGTTGAATATGACTCATAGTGACCCTATGAACAGATCTGAACCCTATCCTATCCTATCCTATCACAATGTTTGACATTCTTGATTGAGCCCATTGCAGCAACCATTGTATCAATCCATCTGGTGGAGATTCTTCCTATCTTTCACTGTTCCCCCAACTCTCATGATATCCATTTCCAAGAAATAGCCTCTAACAATATACCCAAGTGTCTGAGACAAAGCTTTATCATCTTTTTCTCCAAGAAGCACTCGGGCCGCACCCTCTCCAAGACGTGATCTGTTTGTCCTTTTGGAAGTCCAGTCAGTACTCTTCTCCAACACCACAACTCAAAGGCATTGTTCAGTCATCCTTATTCATTGTCCAGCTCTCTTTTGCTGTGATATCATTTAGACTAATAAACAGCTTTACGTGAGGATTCAGTGGCAATTTACATGAGGATTCAGTGGCAAGAGCCACTTTGGGATCCTCCAGGAGTTATGCTACTTTCAACAGCTCCTTTTGTACTTGATCCAGCACATTCTGTTTAGATGCAGTAGAATAAAGGTGGCATAGTGACCCTCAACACCATGTATTTGAACAGGTGGCTTCCCAAGCTTGGCAAATGGCCTGGCCATGGATGTACTTGAAGCTCTGCACCCGCTGGAGGGCCCAGTCGTTGCTGGGCCAGCCATATTCTCATGGGCAACTGGAGGTCAAAGCTGAGTCTATCTCTGTAAAAGAGTTTAAACAAGTGAGCAGAAAGAGGGGATACTGGATACTGCCAAGAAAGAAGAGCTAGGAGCAGAGTACATCCTTTGGACCCAGGGTCCCAGTACTGAGAACCTTCTAGACCCAGAGAAAGAATGATACCAAGACACAAGGAAACTTCCAGGCTATGTCAGGGCCATGGATACTGAAAGGAGATAAGGACCTACCCCACAGAGAGAAAGCTTTCCTCTAGAGTTGGTGCTCTGCGTTTAGGAGAATAAATGTGTCAAAAGTTGTCTATCTGTGGTACATCTGTTATACCAGCACTAGATCACTAGGGCACCTAGTAATGGATACATTGCCAGTTTGTTGTTGTTGTTAGGTGTGGACAAGTCAACTACAACTAATAGCAACTCTATGAACAACATATCTGAAGCTTGCCCTATCCCGCACCATCTCCATGATCTCTGTGGTAGTTCAAATCGGCTGTGGTTGCCACTTGTCAGTCCATCTTGTAGGGGGCCTTCTTCTCTTGTGCTTGACTGGCTACTCTTCCCAGCATGATGTCTCTCTTCAAGGACTAGTTCTTTCTGAAAATAAGCCCAAAGTAAGCAAAGTTTCACATTCCTTACCTCTAAGCTCTGAAGAGCAAGGAGGTCAGCTTAAGACTAAGATGTGTCTGATCCAAACCTTGATGTTTTCAATTGCTTCTTATCTGCAAATTGGACAATGAATAATAATAAAGACCTAAGAAGATGTTAGATGGATCTTAGCTGAAAGCAGGGAATACCAGAAGAATGTCTATTTGTGTTTCATTGACTATGCAAAGGCGTTTGACTGTGTGGATCATAACAAACTGTGGCTGACTCTGAGAAGGGGAATCCCAGAACACTTGATCATGCTAATGCAAAACCTATACTTGGACCAGGAGGCAGTCATCAGAACAGAGCAAGGAAACACTGCATGGTTCAAAATTGGGAAAGGTGTACACCAGGGATGCATCCTATCTCCATACCTTTTCAACCTGTATGCAGAACAGATTATCCGGGAGGCTGGGCTCTATGAGGAGAAATGTGGGGTCAAGATTGGTGGAAGATCTATCAACAATCTGCGTTATGCAGATGACACAACCCTGCTTGCTGAAACTGAGGAGGACCTGAAGTGCTTGCTGCAGAGGGTCAAGGACTGCAGCCTCCAATATGGATTGAGGCTCAATGTCAAGAAGACAAAGATTCTCAACACTGGGCCAATTGGCAGCATCAGGATGGATGGTGAAGAGATTGAGATTGTTCACAACTTTAGTTTGCTTGGCTCCACAGTCAACACTTTTGGCACCAGTAGCCAGGAAATTAAAAGGCGTATTGCCATGGGAAAGTCTGCTGTTAGGGACCTCTCCAAAGTACTGAAGAGCAGTGGTTTCTCTCTGGAGACTAAGGTGCATCTGATACAGGCCATGGTCTTTGCAATCACTTGTTATGCATCCGAGAGTTGGACAATGACCAAGGAGGATAGAAGGAGAATTGATGCCTTTGAGCTGTGGTGCTGGAGAAGAGTATTGAGAGTACCATGAACTGCTAGGAAAACAAACAGATTCATCCTGGAAAGTGTTAAACCGGGTGGCTTCTTGGAGGCAAGGATTCTGAGGCTCTGTCTAACATACTTTGGACATGTTGCCAGGAGGGACCAGTCCTTGGAGCAGGACGTCATGCTTGGGAGGGTGGAGGGACAGCGCAGGAGGGGAAGACCCTCTATGAGGTGGATTGATTCAGTGACTGGGGTACTCGGGATGGGTGTGTCGGGGGCAGTGAGATTGGCACAGGATAGAGCACGGTTTAGGGCTGTTGTACATAGGGTCGCTATGAGTCGCAAACGACTCGATGGCACATAACAACAACATCTCCAGCAGGAGCATCTGGTGGATTCGAACCGCATGCCTCTGGGATTGCAGTACAGCTTCTTGCCACTAGGCTACCAGAGCTCCCTTTAAAGCTTTTTTTTTTTTTTAAAAAAAAATAAAGTAAAAGAGATTATGGAGAGAAGGGTAGCATGTATGTGCCTAAATTGATATCAGACACCCTAGTTCTTTGTAGGACTGCAGGACTTGACCTTGGCCAGTCTCACCTTCCTCATACCGCATTCACTCTTTCATGATGAGTGTGGCCGATAGGACTCTTGACAGTGATGACCTGGTTGCATTTTATCCCGGGGCCACTCAGCACTGCATGAAGAGCACATGAAGTGAAGGAAACACACAGAGCTTGATACTCTGCGATAGAGCCTTTTCCTCGCCAGCACTGGATGAATTCAGGAGACTGGCACCTCGGATTCCTTTCATGAGTGAAATATTTCATATGCCCTAAAAGAACTGCTATGACTCAACAGCTGAAAGAGTTCCTCTGTGGAGACAACTTTAAACTTCTTGTTTATTTTTCTAAAGGGGGAGGGAATGCATTTTTGAGTGCATCTGAAGAGCAGGAATGACTCAGTCGAGAGTTTGCTGAGACTTTTATGGGGACACATTACAGTTAAGTTTTCTACACCTCATGGTCCTCTAACACAGAGGAGATCCTGTTAGTCTATAGACAAGATGAATTGAGATTTTATAGGAGGCACAACTCTCCAAAGCCACTTAAGCTGATTTCATGAGAGTGCTCTTTGTACAAGCTCAGTCTTACTGTTTACTGAGAAGTGTTCCATTTTGATAAAATTGCTCTGAACATCAACAGTTTCCTCCTAGGATGGAGTGGCTTATTTTCAGCTACTCTGCTGCATGCTTAAAGTTACATTCTCTCTTCTTTCTTTCACCCTGTGAAATCCAGAGGCACAGGCCCTGTTAGACATGAAGAAAGTATAGGGGTTGGGATGTGAGAGGTGGTAGATTTATCTGGTGGCCCAATGGGTAAGGAGTTAAGCTGCCAACCCCAAGACAGACAATTCTGAGGGGCAAAGATGGGCATGTCCTCCCAGGCAGTTTACAGCCTCTGAATATCCACTGGAGGGTCAGCGGTGAGTCAGTTCACACTTGATGGCACATATCAACAACAAACAGCAACAATCAAATTTAGACTTCAGAGCCAGCAGGAGAGTGGTACTTGGACTCCCCTGACTCAAGGTTGCTCTTACTAAATCACCCAGGTCAACTGGCCAAGTTCTGTCTTAGCCTTGAGGTGTAGGCTGGAAGAGGAAGACTTGGTATGCTTCTATTCCTCAGTGCATTTCCTATTCCATTTCTTTGGACCAATATTTTTTTCTTTTATCATTTTCTGGTACTGTTTCGTGGAGATGGTTTCAGAAACTATTCCCCAAAGGCAGGGCATTTCCTTCCTTGGGGAGAAGAGATCTCTCTCTGAGACCCCTTTCCATTTTTCCATTCCTGGAGTTTATGGCAGAATTGGGAGACCTTAGCATATTCCACTTCCTTTGCCGCCTCACATGGCAGTTCTCTGTCAATCACCATGACAATAATCATCTTGTGCCCACATTTAAGGGATTAAGAAGAAAATAAGATGGGCAGATTTTAAGGGGAATGTGGAAAACAGCTGCTGTGGTCCCTGAAGTATGAGCAAAGAAGAAACAGGATTAAAATTTCATCAAGAAGCAATGAAATCAAATATTATCATCATCACTGTCATCATCTCCACAAAACTAATAATAGCTGCTTACAAAGTCCACCCCGGCACTTCATGAAAGTTACTTCATTTCCCCAAAACCTTGTAAGGTTGCTGGTTTTGCAGCCTAGGAAGCTGACTTGGAAAGTTGAATTCCTATTCCATTGCAGAAAGATCCCCGATCTCAAAGTCACTGGCTGCGTGATCTAGAGTAAGTCTTGGTTTCTAGTATATGCTGGTGGATGATCCATCTCCAAATAGATAACTGTCAGCGAGTCGACTCTTGACAGAGGACCCCAATACACCACAGAACACACTGTTGCCTTGTCCTGTATCATCCTCTCAAAACTCAACATGTTCTGGTCCCATCTCACCAAGAGCCTCTCTCATTCTTGCTGGCCCTCTGCTTTACTGAACATTATGACCTCCAGCAATTGGTCCATCACTATGACACGTCTAACATATGCAAGTTGGACAAATGCTTTGTTACGATCTTTACGGTTTTCACTGACTAATTTTTGGAAGCAGGTTGCCAGGTCTTTCCTCTTAGCCTGTCTTCTCTGGAAGCACCTCTGAAATCTGTTCATCATGAACGATCCTGTTGGTATTTGAAACATTCATAGCAATAGGCAGGTCACCACGCTTCTATGAGCTGGTAGACAGGTGGTAGGATAACCTCTAAAGCTTTTTGTAGTGCTGACTTAAATGAGAATGATCTTGCTAGGCAGATTAGGTAAAGCATTTCATGCCCTTCAGAAGCGCCTTTCTAGTGGTGGAATTCATAGTGTGTGCCACGGCTAAATTTAACCCTAATCCTAACCCTAATCTTAACCCTTTTAACCCTAAATCTTAACCAGCAGGAGCGCACTACTGGGGCTCCCCAACTCAAGGCTGCTCTTACTAACTCGCCCAGGTCCTTGATCACATTCTGGTTTAGCCTTAAGGCCCAGGCTGGAATTCAAACCACGTGCGTTTGGGTTGGCAGCCAACACTTTACCCACTAGGCCACCAAATACATCTCACTCTTGTTTCCTTTCCTTAAATGTTTCGCAATTTTTTGTGAACTATTTGTGAGATAATGTGTTAAAGTGTTTCTTGTTATTATTTTCTGTTGCTATAGTTTATGAATCAGAATAATTCAAGTGGAGAGACCAATGAAGCCAACTCTCTTTCACGGAAACATCCTCACACTGAACCAAGATGCTGGGCGGAGCCATCAGCGGGGAAACCCTCCAAACCATAGAGCACTGCTTCCTAGATGGGCCGCCTCCAGGCCACTTCCGCTTGTCCGCCTAAAACCGCGCCTGCGCAGTCCGTCTCTTCCTTTCTGGGCTTGGTGTTTGTTTGCGGCGCAATGGTGAGTGTCTGTTCTCTGGCGGCCTGTCTTCTCCATCCGGTTGCATCTGCTCCTCTCTTGCCTTCGGCGCCCGAGCTCCCGAATCCTTAATGGTCCCGTCCCTTTCTTTCCCCAGTCCCCGTGCCTCGCCGCGTCCTGAGACCCCGTTCTCCCGGGATGTAGTAGGAGGCGGGGGCGGCTTGGCAGAATCTGCACACTGGGCCCGGGGAGCGAGGCGCCCTCGGCGCCCAGGACCCTCCCTGGTCCCTAGTTGTGTCAGGCCAAATTGAGGAAAGTTAGATCCTGGGCGGGGAAAGCAGTGTTGTCCGCAGGCTTCAGCCTTCCACTTTTGGGAGCCTTTCTGTTCGGGTCCCGACTGTAAAAATGGCAGGTTTCTCATGCACCGCGCACTCTTTGCACAGGCCAAACGCACCAAGAAGGTCGGTATCGTGGGTAAATACGGGACCCGTTATGGGGCCTCGCTGAGGAAGATGGTAAAGAAAATTGAAATCAGCCAGCATGCCAAGTACACTTGCTCCTTCTGCGGCAAAGTAAGGAGGTTTCTGGGGGGACGGGACGGGAAGACTGCCAAACAAAGTGGGGCCGCTCTTTAAGTCTGTAAATAATCTGCAGGTTTCAAGTCCCCAAGCAGTTAAGATTGCTCAAACCATCGATTATCAGTTAGGTGCTACGAAGTGTTGGTAACCAGATTTCTTAAGATCTTTCCTATTGTTTAAAAAGAAAATTGAAGATGAAAAATTAATAAGGTGTAGAGCCACGACCTAAGCCAAACCAGACTTGAGGGAAATAAGACTGTTAAAAATGATGGTTAGATGTAACACCACCACCCCCTTAAAAAAAAAGAAAAAGCCCACACACCCAGAAGTGTTGGGCTTGGCATCTAACAAGCTATCTGTGTGGATGGAGATTTTATTTGATGACATTTGGATGTTTTGCTGTGTGGCGAAGGGGAGTCTCATTCCTGGTAGGATTACCTTTATGCAAGTTGGGACTAGGAAAATTAGAAGTAATAAAATTTCATAAAATACACCAGGTTTTTGATCCTGTGGACTTTAAGCTCTCGGATGCTCATAAGATTTTTCATTGGCTCTTTGTTGCAGACCAAAATGAAGAGAAGAGCTGTGGGCATCTGGCACTGTGGTTCTTGCATGAAGACAGTAGCTGGTGGCGCCTGGACCTACAAGTAAGTCCCGTTTTGTGTGTTCTTGAGTCCTGGGGCCAGGCCTCACTTTAGGTGGGCCCTATGAATGAAAGACCTGAGCACTGTTCATAGTTTCTGGAGGCAAGCCATTTCGGAACCGGATGCCACTCTTGCTTCTAATGAAGCTCCATCAAACCCTAACCCTTCAACTTTGTGACCTGTCCAGGCAGTAGTTGATGAGCTAGGCATTACTTGATCTGATCTGGCTCCTCTATTTCCCCTATGCTGGAAATTGAAAGTTTTCCTTGAAGGTGTTTGAGTTGGTAAAGTTAGCACTTTGGGGGTGTTTGTGAGAACAGTGGGGACTAAGGTTATCGCTTTCAGGTGGCATGAATTGGCATGAACACTAGAGTATGGAATGAGTATATGATTTTTCAGACACAGTTTTTTAATTTGGTTTAAAGTTTTTGGAACCATTTTACTATAGTTTTTCCTTGCTGCCTTAAATGGGTTGCTAAGGTCGGTAACATAAAATCATATAATTTGGTGGTTCTTGGTATTAAGTGAATTCTGGTAGGAATGGTTTTCCACCTTGTTTTAATGCTTTGCTGTCTTGAGTTTATAAAAAGTGCATTGAACTAGCTACATCTGCAAATATTGGACAGTTTGGCTTTTAAAAGTATTGGAAACCATTAATCTCTAGTGTTGAGGTTTTTAGAGTATTAGAACTAAAATTCTAGTAGTATTAATAGTCTCCTAAAGGGACATAGAGAAGTAGAACGTGATAGGAAGCCAGTGTGTAACAATGAGGTGCTTATCCCCGTTCCCTGCTTTGTGTCTGCATGGCTCCCTAACATTGGCAATGATCTGCTTTTCTTGCAGCACCACCTCGGCCGTCACGGTGAAGTCAGCCATCAGAAGACTGAAGGAACTGAAAGACCAGTAGAAGTTCCCCCTTTTGAAGCATCTCTAGCCTGTAATAAATGGGTTAATTTATGTAAAGATATGTCTGATATTTTGTTAATTTCACGTTCTTCTTGACAGTTCTGCGTGAGAAATTAGTTTTTGTGTGTAGACTTAATATCTAGAGGTTTTTTCCTCCCAGTGTTACTAGATTGAACCCCACATTGAAGTTTCATTTTGTGGGTTAAGTGCTCAACATCTTTAAGGATCAATCTTCCGGTGTTCCTGGTCTTGTTAAGTTTTGTATGAATTTTTGGTTTTGTGGGGGATTTTTTTACCCCTCCAAACTCTTTCCATACTGTTTTCCTCTTTTTTTTATCATAATTAATGTTTTGTTTAAATGTTTCTAAAGGTAAGGTAGTATAGACTCTCTGAGACCACTGCCCTCAGGACAGTTCTAACTCCTAGCATTCTCCTAGAACTACCCAGTAAGGATTCTGAGGCTGTCAATCTTGGTGGTCAGACTGTTTCAGGTGAAGACAGTCTTGGAGCAGTGTGGTGGAATTTGAACTGCCCCAGGCTTGACTGACAGGCTTGTACATTAATTTCTATTTGGCAGACAAGACATGACTGATACTTTTCTGTAGTTCTGTGTCAGTTTGAGCCTTGTTTTTTAGTGGTTGGGCATTTTTAGTCTTTGGAGCTTAAGCTGTCGAGTGGGTATACAGATTGTGTTTGGTGGTTTTGATTAAGCTCTTGGTTGCTATGAAGTCAGAAGCAGCCCATAGCTGACCCTCCAGCAAGTTTTCTGAAGCAGTAAATTTAGCATGGGAGCAGGTTGTCCAGCCTTCTGCGAGCAGCTGGTGGATTTAAACTGCATGCCTTTGGGGTTGCAGTGCAGCTCTTATTACCACAAGGCCACCAGAGCTCCCTTAGATTATACTTGAAGCATCTTCAGAAAACACTTGGGGATATATTTTGAAAATTAACTTTGATGAAGAATTCATGACTCTACTTGGTTGTTGATCTGTGCTTTGGGGTTACTATATTCCCTTACAGTAACAGAAAAGAGTTCTATTAAAGGGTTCTAAAATAACCTTTGTTGTTATTCAGGCATCCACCTGATTGTCCACCAGTTTATCCTACTTACATCTTTTCAACCCTGCCAGTTAGTCGCCTCAGTAGCATCAGCTGGTGGTGGTGTCACCTTTTCCCAACTCCAAATCCAGAGTAAGTCAGTCAGTGCAAATTTAATCTGTTAAGGATCTGGTTTTTCTTTATTCTGTGGCCCTTAGGTCAGGTCCAACCTCTGGTGACTCATAGGAGTTTAACAGTAGAGGGTTTGTGACCGAGCCATTAATAATTATTATTTTGCCAGGACTTTATACATTCTGTTAATATTCAAGAGCACTAACTCAGGACAAACTGGTTTAGTAGTGGTGTGATCGTAACCTTTGCAGAAACCTACTAGTATGTGGTGGCAATTAATTATTTATAAATTCATTTGGATTCTGAAGACTTGTGTTATCCTGTACAGGAATTTGGACTTTAATTTTTGGGCAGTGGGGGAACCATTAGTAGAAAGTGCTACTTCACATTTGTTGAGAACTTGTTTGGTGCCCCTGAGTTGGCTCTTACTTGACAGCCCTGTGCCATCCTCACAGTTGGCTGTGTGCGTGAACTCAAAGCACAGTGTTTGTCCAAGGACGAGCTCTTGCTTCATGCCCAGTATGTAAGGCAAGGCTCATCATCCCTTCAAGGTGCTGTCTGGCTGCACCTTCTTCAGAACAGATTAGTTCCTTTCTCAGCCCATGTTCCCTGTTCTTCATCAGGAACACATTTAGAAGGCATCAGTTTTCCCATCTTTTATTCAGTGTCCAACTTTTCACATACAGTTAAAAATAGTATGATTTGGGTCAGATACATGTTCCATAATGTGACAATAGATTTTCCAATTGCAGCATGTTTGATTCCTTCACTGCTGCTTTCGTAGAGGTTCTGAATACAGATGACTTGAAATCTTTATCATGAAAAAGTTTATCATGATGTTTATCATGGTGTTTATTGGCCTCGTGAGGCTTTTTTTAAGTGATAGCTGACAAGAGATGGTTGTGGGTGACAAATCAGTAACTGTTCAGATCATTAATATTTTTGTAGCTGGGAGGGTAATTTTCCAAGACTACAGGCATGGAGGTCTGGGGATTGAGTTTATGACTCGTCCATATTGTTTCCCCACTGAACTACAGGGCTTCTATTTCTTCTGGAGTGCTTGTCCGGTAGGCAATAGATGCTGTACTACTGAGAGTCTGTGCCTCTCTGATAGTTCCACTCCACTGGCCTTCCTGCAGCTTACAGCCTCTGAAAACCTGCAATGGGATTAGCTTTAAGTTGATTCTGACTCAGTAGCATTGACTTTGCCTCTTTCTAGACTAAGAGCTCCACCTTATCTTCCCAGTGAAAAGTGGTTGTGCTTTTCTATCCCATTTTTACTTGGTTCCTGTGAAACTCAGTTTTGTGTGGATCAAAGAAAGGAAAAGGCTGTGCTGCTTCATCTAGGAAGCATTGAGAAGCCAAGACAAAGGGAAGAGATGTTGAAGTAAAAGAACTGAAGCTTTCAAGAAGCAGCTTGAGAGGTCAAAGCAAACTACTCTAACAGAATGTACAGAGAGACCTAGAATTAGAGAATAACCAGGGAAGAACTCAGCATTTCTCAAGCTGAATTTAGAGATGCCTTTGGCAAAATCTTGAATGGTCCAGAAAACGTCAAAAGAAGAGGGAATATAGAGTCAAAATGTACCAAAAAGATTTTGGCTGATAAATATTTCAGGAAGTACCATATGATCTGGAGTCAATGGTAATGAAGAAAATTCAAGCTGCACTGAAAGCATTGGCAAACAGTAAGACCCCAGAAATTGATGGGATACCAGTTGAAAAATGTCAAATGACTGATGCAACTCTGGTTGTGTTTACCAGTCTATACCAGGATTATTTGGAGGATAGCTGATTGGCTGGAAGAGATACATTTCCCAAGAAAGGTGATCCACCAGAATGTTGAAAATTACCAAACAGAATCATGTAGTGTTCTGTTTGAACAACAGTTTCTCAGCATGTGTGCTGTTGAGGTGGAACAGTCTCCTAACTGACTCTTCAGTGTGTTTTCAGAGACAGTAAATGATACAGGAGATTACCCACTGAATAGCCAATGGATTTGAACTATGTGCCTTTAGGATTGCAGTGCAGCTTCTTAAGTGAAACCAGACTGCTCCTAGAGGCAAGGATTCTGAAGTTCCCCGGAGAGGGTCATGCTTGGAAGTGTGGAGGGGTCAGCACAGGAGAGGACTCCTGAGAGCTGGACTGATTGACTGTCAAGAGACAATAAGGTTGGTTCAGGATAGAGCAGGGTTCAGAGCTGTTGTACATAGGATCACTATGAATCACAACTTGATGGTGGCACATTAATACCACACGTAAGCAAAATACTGCTTAAGATAATTAGAAAATGACTAGAACAGTACCTAGAATAAGTTCATAAGTTGCATAAGTTCAGGCTGGATTTAGAAGAGGCTGTGGCACCAAGGATATTGCTGATGTCAGGTGGATGCTGGCTGAAAGTAGAGAATATTAGAATTATTTGTGCTTTCTTGACTATGCAGAGGCATTTGTGTGAGACAATGTTATTTCTAAATTGAGAATAGGAATCTCAGGACACTTAATTGTACTTCACATGAAACCTATACTTAGATCAGCTATTTGTGATCAGAGCAAGGGAACACTACATGGTTTAAATTAGGAAAGGTGTGCGCCATGGTCGTATCCGTTCATGTAGCTACTTAATCTGCTGAGTAAATTATTTGAGAAGCTGGATTCTGAAGAAGAATGTGGCATCAGGATTGGAAGAAAACTTAGCAGTAACCTTTGTTAACCAGATGATATCACCTTGCTGAAATTTAGGAGGACTGAAGCACTTTGCTCAGAAGGTTAAAACACTGTAGCCTTCAATATGTATTGCATCTCAGCTCAAGAAAATAAAAAAATCCTTGCTACTGGACCAATAGACAAGATCATGATGGAGAAATTCACTTGTCAACTTCATCTTAACTTGAATTCACAGTACACCTGATACCAGCAGTTAAGAGACATGCTGCACTTGAAAAGTCTGCAGTCAGGGCCCTCTTCAAATTATTGAGGAGTGGTGATGTCAGTTTGAGGCCTAAAGTGTGCCTGATTTAGACCAGGGCCTTTTCAGTCACTTCCTACATGTTTGAGAGCTGGACAGTGAATAAGGATGACAAGAATGAACTCTTAAACTGCTGTAGGAGAAGAGAACTGAAAATCCATGGACTGCTAAAGAACATGTTGTGGAAAAAAGTGCAGCCACAGAATTCCATGGAAGCATAGATGATGCTTCATCTCACATACTTTGGGCATGTTGCAAGGCTGTTCACCTTGGAAAGAGGCATAATGCTTGAAAAGGTGGAGGGATGAAAAAGGCGAGGAAGGCCCTTAACCAGGTGGACTGACAGTGACTGCAGCAAGGGCTTCCTTGTCTTGAGATTGCGAGGTTGGCACATGATAGGACAGGAGTCATCTTTATAAGGTACTTGAGGGCATCTAACAACACTCATCTATAGCTGCAGATTTTAAGAGATTGTGAATGTTTGTTGCAGGCAAAAATATTCTGGGCCCCAGAAGAATAAATAAATAGTATTCTAGGTGTTTGGAGTTAATTACCTCTCCTGCTAACATCTTTTACATATTTGAGAGCTAGTACTTGTTACTGGGCCCTGATTTGAGATCAAACGTTAGATTGTGAAATACCAAGTGTAACCACAGATTTGTTCAGCATTCCATTTTAAAATGAAGTCTATTAAAAAATTGAAGTAGAGGCATGCAAGTTGCCCCAGTAGGTGGTTTAGATTCCCACTGATAGAGTTCTCATGGGGTATAAATGGTTAAATGTGCTTGAGTTGCAGAACAAAAGGTTGCCAGTTAAAAGCTCACCCAAAGCACCCTGCAAGGAAGGCCTGGCAGTCTACATTGAAAACTACTAGAGGAAAGATAGCATTTTGAAAAGTCCTTCAGACTTTTTAGATGCATT